ATACATTCATGAAACCTACATAAAGTTTATGTCATTTTGTATAATTGACAGTTGATGGATAACTTGAAAAAAACATTATTGAATTTACAATATAAATGAACTATATGATTTTTATGTAAAGATTTGAAAAGTTAGTTAAGCTAGATCTAATATACAGATATACAAATAGATAGATATATACTGGCACTAATATATACACTTGGTAATATGTCTATCGAGTTATTCTGTTCAATGTGAATAATATCTAAGTGAAATCATATAAAAAAATTATTTTCAATTTACCAAGGTTTATTATGATTATTAGAAATTTATTCTGTCTGTTCTTCGTTTTAGTTGTCAAAACCACATGATAATTGACACTTGAATAATGGATTAAGTAAAACAATGACCATGTTAACTTTAATTCTTCCATTACAACTATTAGCACGGATATTTTTCTTTTTTGAAAAATTTAGTTAAAAAGTACAGATATTTTTTTACAATATCACTTGTATGTAATAAGTGTCTACTGTTTCGAACTGAGCAAAATTCAACTATTGAGTATACTTAATGTCAGAAAGGGGTTTTTATGGAGTAATAATAGTTGAGCTTATGAGTCAATTAAAGCTAGACCATCATGGAAAACATTAAAGCAATGGACGGCAGTTTGGTCCTAGTATGGGGCAGCCCAGCAGTGCGCATCCACTATCTCGACCACGGGATTCGAACCCATGACATTCAATCTCGCGCTCGAGCACTTCACCTCTAGAACATTGAGCCGGCATACAACAGTGTTAATGTCTACCTTCAAACAATCCACGAAATTGCGCCACCGTCCATCATTGTCTTCAGTGAATTACTATCTCACAATTCCGTGGATTGGTTGAAGTTAAACATTAACACCATTGGACCCCCGCACAGTGGTCTAGAGGTTAAGCGCTTGCACTTGAGACCGAAGGTCTTGATTTCGAGTCCCTCAAGCGAAATCGTGTATACTTAATTCATTTTCATGATCTTGGTTCCAGTAATTGTTAGTGTTGATATAATACAAGAGCAAGTGCAGAAACAATAATATATTTATCAGAATACTGTAAAAATAACAAATGACATTGTTATACTGTGTGAACGCATATGAGCTACTTATTCTCACTGATCGAAATGCAATAAAACATGATTTTCTATAATAATAAATGATAACTATTATTAGTGATCTTTTTTGCATATAAAATCATTTGAGCATTGAATTGGAAAAAAAGACGTGAAACAATGGCTTAAGGCATGAATTTTCTTGAATAGTGTAATTAAAAAGACAGGTAATGTTACAAGTTTGAGAGAGCTAACAAAAGTTCTTGGAATGGAATCAGTGAAAATCTCATAGTGAATGCATCGATGTTTTTAAAGTAATTAATTAAAATTAGAATGAAATGGACAGTTAGAGTTTTTAGTAAAACTTCAGTTGACTATACTATATTGACAATTTTTTCCATTTGAACGAATAAGTTGAAGTTTCAATAAAACTTTTTAAAGTGAAGTATGATAAATTATATTTTATCAATTATTAGTTCAGGTAAATAGCTCAAAAAACGCTGACAATATGACCGTTATCAGTTAAGTGCTTAGTTATTAATTTCTTTAGAACTATGACGCTTATGACTAATAGAAATATGATCATGTACGGTTTTTCTTGTACCTTCAATTCATATCCTTTGCCGTTTATATGTAATTTGATAAAAGCAATAAGACTAACTACTTTGGTGTGTGTTTATCACTCAGGCTTAAATTTCAATCATCTTTTTTGTTAGTATTAGGAACCAATAAAAGTTTCCCCAGTTTTTAAATTGCACCACAGTAGCCTGTATTTTTTAAAGTAAGATCTGTTCTATAGCTGAACATAAATATTGAAGTTTATATTTATCACTTATTCTTACTTGGGAAGTGATTGATTTAGATAGATCACATGGTTTCTCTCTCCCTAGTAATACTCCGAATATAAATGACGGATTGAAGTTTTAAGATTTTTAAATTTATTCCCTTTATGTTAAAAATTATCAATTTTATTATATTTGGCCCAACATTTGACTGTTAACTTAATGAAAAATATTTCGGATCACTGTTATTTATGCATGATAGGATGTGTTATGATAGTAGTCTTATAGTGTGATATGCTAGATAACCGAAAACGAAAATTCTGCAGTTATTAACTTGTACATGTTACCTAAGCGGCTACTGTGTGATATTTACCATTTATTGTAGGATTATTTATATCGGTTTGTGTGGAGTTATGATCATTTTGAAAATTGTTTTCAATATGAAACGACAACGGCAAGAGAGTCATTCCACAACTAGAAGTCATTTAATGATTGAAAGACTAATATTTGAACGAAGAATATTCTTTTCGATAAATTCTCTTCAAATTCTACAATTCATATATCCAAGTTAATAATCTGAAAAATGGCCAGGTTAAGAGCAAAGTACATCGTTCAAAGCATGTGAATTTAGGATTGTGATGAACAAAATACAATAAAATTGTTAATGTTGATATGACTAATATCATAATGTTAACTTGAATCTGCGTATGTGTGAAGTGAAATTTTAAGATCCATGATCAGAATAAATATGGATGAAATTGGGTGAGAGAGAAATGATAGTGCAATTGCAAATAATTAAGACGTAATAAGGAGGGATGAATGCGAAGTGAATGAACCATGTATAAGGGAGATTAATAAGGATGTTCAACCAATAGTAATAATAATAATAATAATAATAATAATAATAATAATACAAAGTTCACTTGGTGTTGTTTTGCTTGAATCTTTCCATTGATGTTTAGGACTGCAGTTGATCAGTCTCTTATTGGCATATGTACATATTGCGTGTATTACAGCGATATTGCCTTAATTTACAAGCATTATTGGCAAAGATGGATAATGGCTAGCAGTGGAATCCAGGACGTGTGTTTCAAGTAAAACAATACCAAATGAATTAAACTTCACCCCATTGCACAAGCAAGTGGCTATCGGGACTCAGTAGCTAAGTGGATAACGTGATGGCGTTTGAAGCGAACGGTACTGGATTCGAGTCGCAGGATGAACATCAACTCTGAGATTCAGGTACATCCAGCTGACAAGTCCCGAATAGGGTGTAACGCACGTCGTGGATTTCACTGCTAGCCACTATCCATCTTTACTAATAATACAAAGATTTGTGAATAAAGATAATAGAGACAATTACAATTGACTACGAAAGGTCGTAGTCAATGATTTTTTGATATGCAATATTATCTTTAAAATACAGATGACACAATTTTGAATCAAAACACATAAATTTCAACTTGAACTTGAAATCACACACAGCTCTCATTAAGTAAGTCATTAACCTAAATCACAATGATAACACTTTTCGCCATATTTCATTCATTTTTTCCGGTTACCGTCATTGTATTTAATCAAAATTAGACTGAATTAATCTATTTTCACTAACTGAACTAATTATAAAGTATTAATTAATTAAATAACAACACTTCAGAAATTTTAATTTCGTTAACGGTTTAACGTCTTCTTTCGTCACTACAATCAAACTTCTCCTTTTCTATCATCAAACAGAAAAAAATACAGGATGAATTGAAAATTATACAGTCAGTTTTTTTTTAGGATTCCATAGTGTTATAGTAGGTTCAATTAACCTCGTTGCATAGATTCAATTAAAGATTAGATTTCAATGTGTTCAATTCATTTAGATGATCAATTTTTGATTAAATGATCTACATTTTACAGTTTAATAAAATTTAATAATATTAAATACAAGTGGGTATCATAAAATAAATGTATTACAAATTATTGGATTATATTTCAGTGATCCTATTACACTACGCTCACAGTAATGACTGAGATTTCCCTTTTTCCAACCTGTATGCTTAGTACTTTAGCGTAACCAGCATTTGAGCATATTATTTTACATTCCCATTATTATTATTTTGACATATGAGAGCTAGGATTTTTTGAAAATTACCACTGCCATTTTCATAAACTAACGTCCACTGAAGATACAGTATATATATACACTTAATAAGTTCAAAATTAATCATTTAGGATATATCTGAGTTACCACTTTCTCAATAAACCTATTCATCCAATTAGTTCAGTTGATAGAATCTGTATCATGTGATTTAAGTCATTCACATCCGTATATCAGTAGTGTCAAAATCGAATACAGTTGTGACATGTATATGCATATTTGTATAGTGTGTACTTATCCCATGTACAAGATGATTATCTTGTGCACACAATATGGTTTATTTGTTTTCACTTAATAATAAGTACATGAAATGGTTTAATATTTTAATGTAGCCATTGTACATGTTACTTAACATACATGTGTAAATATACACATGTCTGTCTAACGAATTTTTCATATTATTATGATTTGTTCTCCTGTTTGGAGACGCACATAGTGTCCATAGGCCGTTAGTAAACTTCAATATTTGTGTCTAGATGTTTGCATGAACATGCAGATATGTTATATAATGTGCACATATGGCTTGTTCGCTCAATCACATTACAGTGTTATTATTTAAGTTAATAATATTAGAATTACCAGTTATTTTGGGCTTTTTTCATTTTAAAAAGGAACCAATAAATTTATAACTCTTAAGACTAAAGGAATTAACCATACATTGATTTAATTATTTAGACGAATTGATAATGAATTACTCAAATTTATTCACTTTTATGTACATATCTATACTGTAATGCAAAGGTTTACAGTGGGAAACCGTAACAATCATCACCGTGATTATCAGCTTAAAACTTTATAACTCAAAGTGATCTAAGAGCGGAACTAGACATATAAACACACACAAACATCTGTAAATCCTGCCTTAGAAACTAATTTTAATTATTTGAAGAAAACACATTTTTTAGATTTAAAAAAAAACTTTCATGAGATTTTATTTGATAATTTACCCAGTTAAAGAAAATTGCATCAAAATTGAATTTAATATTGTGAATTCATTTGAAAATTAAATGTCTGGTGATACTGAGGCCACATTTATTTTATCTTTAGACGACGATGAAAATGATATTGCATTATCTCATCCAAATCATAATAAAACAATAACAGCAGATTATTCAACAGAAAATACAGTAGTTGAATTCTCTATTTCAATTAATGATGATAGCGTTGAAGTGAAAAGATGCGATTCAATGTCATTAGAAGAACAATTGGCTTGGTGTAAGTAGAATATAATTTCTTTTTTTTTTAAAGTATAGAACTTCACATAATTTTCATAATGAATTAATATAAACAATCAAATAGGTGTTCTGTAAGTTTAAAGATTAATTAATGGTATACATTCGAAAGTGTTTCTCAGGAATTAAAACTAAGAATTTTCTCCTAACCTGTCTATGTACTTATCAAATCCAGTTTTTACTGTGTTTTTTTCAGAAAAGTAGGTTTGATTTTAAATATTCTAAATATAGTGAATGTAGAACCATCAAACTGTACTTCTTACCTCAAGCACTTATAAGCATTTGAAACTTCCTAAACCACTCATACCTTTGTGGATTTTGTATTTTCTATTGTTGAGTGCCTTTAGTGAATATAAGTATTCGAACAATATAATGTTGTTCAATGAATGTGTTTAGATTCATTTTCTAGTTAAGTTATTTGTAAAGAACGTTTGAATTTTTGAATATAGCTTTCTCTGCCAAATGATATTAAGTGATGATCCATGGAATCATATGGAACAAAAGACAACTATATCGTCATTATTTGAAAATTTTAGCATTGGCTTTCCCCAAACTTAGGCCTTGAGATCTTTCAGGAGATATGATTCTTTCAAACCAATGAGGTGAAACCAGATGATCGACATTTTGACCCTAAGTTGATTCAAAATAAGCGATTAATTCGACTCCGTGATTTGGGATGTACATATTTACTATATAGTTATAATCTATTTAGCTTTTTTATGAATACTTTATCTCAATGGCATTTTACTTACATGAAAGAGTTTGATTGGAATTTATATTGAAGACTTATTCGTATAGTATAGCATGAGTGTAAATAAATTTAATAGACTGAATATTGTAAATATATACCTTATGTGATGAAAGAACATTGTGACAACAGTTCAATGGGCTGGAAACAAGTAAACATTGATAGGAATAAAATGAGTAGAGTTCAGTTGATAAAATAAGATTAATAGTTTGGAAGAAAGTTGGAATAAAACTCAATGGTGTGATAAATGCAAGAAAGAGTTTAAAGAAAAGAAAAAATATTAAGATATAACGAAGGAATATTAATCACCAAGGCAAGGAAAGATTAATAACCATCTCCTTTTGAACACATAAATCAGGCTTTTTGCGCCTGATAGCAACTACTTCAGCAAACTTCAAAAGACTGGAGTTTGACTGCTTACTAATCACCTTGAATGATTGTAGGGTATTGACCTGATGTCTTGTATCAAGATGTTTGGTGATTGCACTCTTTAGAGTCTTTCTTTCTCTTGTTCTGAGGCTTTATGGAATATGTTCAAAAAATCTGAGATATGCCCTCCTTTCTGTTCGGTTAATGATTTTTAAATATCACAGGTTGTAACCAGCTGATGAGAACCAACGAAATAAAAATGAATTCATACTATTCTGCTAGAATGTTTGTTCTTGTTCTATTCAAAATGATAAAGGGAACTATGTGTATAAATGGCATTTTATTGGAATTTTATAGATTATTTTCTTGTCTCTAGATTATGACTTTTATTTCGCTTTAGTTATATAATAATTCTGATGTCTGTAATCTAATGTAGCATTTACATAAAAGATTAGATATGCCATGTTTTAATGTCAAGGTTAAGTATTTATTATTTGTTATAAATAACATGAATTTCATTCGATAACTAACTAATTAATAATAAAAAAAAATAAAACTACAATCGATCAATACGAATATTTTTATCAATTTTAAATTTAAAACAAACATCAAAATCAATAAACTTTGAAATTGATTGTTTAATCATACTAATTATTGACATATTTTTCTTATTGACTTTTTTGAAATTAATTATTCCTAAGAATTATTGAACTTTAATAGATTATTCTCGATATTGATTACCAATAGGGTTCATATAAATAAAGAATGCAATTGCATTCTACTGAATAAGGTTACCTCGTGTCATATATATATATATTCCATATGATGTCTTCACACTTCATATCGTGTGACTAAATAAGTAATTAACTAATTCTTGGATGTTAACTACCTCACATTGCTTGAGATAACAGTCACAGCCATTTGAACGTTGTTGTCTCACTGAATAGTTCGGTTTGTATGGGTTAAAATTAAATAATCTAATTTTGTTAATAATTTGAAATCCTTTAAAAATCTAGGGACACTGAAAAACGTATTGATCGATACTAACGGTAGCAGCACAAGAACACCTTTGCGACAACTCAATGATGATTGCGGAATTAAAGAAATCATACTTATCAATATCTACGAGTTAATATCACTATAAGTTAAGACTATCTCTAGTAAGACTTCATGATTAAATGAACCACAGACAAATAAAAAAGACAAACCAATCATGACTTGCAATCATGGATAATTGGAGATATATGATAAACCAAATTAATTCCAACAGTCTGATGATAGTATTTGATGTAAATCCTTCTTTTTTTTTACAAAACACATCAGAAACTGGTCATAATTGGATGTATAGATGGTCAAGAGTTCGTGTTTGTGCAGAGTTTTGAATAGACTCTGTTTATGTTTTGTTTTAATAATTTGGGAATTTTGGAAAAACCTAAATTATTTTAAGACTGAATTATCGAATTCAATTATCTAGATATGATCAGATTGTTTTGATTAAAGTAAATGGTATGGCAGATAGAAAAGTCAATATGAAATCTGCAATTGACTTTTTCATGAACATTTAGTATGTTTTTATGCTATTGACCAGCTGACACAACAAAGTATGGATAGTACTTATCTGTTTTGTCACCTAGTTTTCCTAAGAATATTCTTTTAGAAAAGATCTAGACTGATTAAAATGCTTACTGTTCATCTTCAATAAGACAGACAATTCAAAGAGAATAAAACAAGCATTGAAAAACTTGAATGGTAATAAATCAGTATATCTATTTCTCTACATAATTCAAAGTCACCACATATTAAAAGTAGTTCAAATTAGTCAAATCAAAATAAAGTATTTCATAGAAAATCATGTGAATATGTTCATATCTTAGTAAAAGCAAATGTCTTCTACTTTAGATTAAATAATCTAGGCAATAATTATTTATCAGTAGGGTTTTTGTGGATATTATGTGATTTTAATGGTTGAAATCATAAGTCAATTGAAGCTAGACCACCGTTCTCACAACAGCACGAAACGGTCATTCAGTGCTTCCATGTTTTCCATGGTGGTTTAGCTTCAACAGATTCATTATCTCAACCACTGAGTTTATTAATTCATTTAATAATTTTTCAAAATACAATTTTATTCACTAGGTATCGTTTACTTGAATCTTCCCATTGATAGTTAGGACTGGAATTGATCAGTCTCTTATTAGTATATGTGTATACTGTGTGTATCGCCTCAATATTTACCTTAATTTACAACCATTCTAAGCATAGATAGTTAGTGACTAGCAGTTTTATGCTTGAACATTTAAAAATAAATATTTCCTTATGATCCATCTTCAATGATTAAACTTTCACACTTTGGAAACTAAAATTCAAGTTAAAAGTTAATTTACACGAACGCTCCAAATTTAGATTCTATTAGCTGCATTTGTATTGTTTTGTTCATTTTTTGTTGTTCAGTAAAACAATTCACATATTACTAACCTGTTTAAATGTACAATAATGGCGTTCACGTAATTTTATTCAAGGACTCAAACATTTTCACTGCACAGAAATGAATGATTACTAGTGATTATTATTTTTTTATGTTAGCAAGTTTCACTTGCAAATGATACCTGTATATACTCATTAGTTATCATTTAGTCGTCATTTACTCTATTTAAAACATGAGAATGAAATCTAGTGATCTTTCATGCGGCAAACATTAACTCAACTAAATTTCGAAAATTACGTTTTCGATAATGATCAATGATAAAATAAAGTAAACGTATTTCAAGGTTATTGTATTTTTATACGGTAATAGGGATTGTCCATGAGAGTAGAACGCAATATTTATAACTTTAGACGTAACGAAAACTATTTACATATTCTATATAAATAATATATTCGGAATATCCCAATGAATAGAAAAATGAGATTTTCTGACATTTCATGACTTAATTTCAGTCCTAAACATCAATCGGCAGATTCAATTAAACAATACTTAGTGAATAAAACTATATTGTAAAAAATTATTAAGTTAAGTAATAATCTCTGAAGAAGTGGCTTACACTGAGTCACAAAACGTCAAAAAATCTAATTTTTCTACTGATTGGGATATTACAGATACGTTGTTTATTTATAACACTCTACCCAATGCTCAATTTATTCGAAATTATCAAGTCAAACCTTGGTAATGTTACCTATTTACATATTCATCGTCTATTTATCAAATATTATATTTACCCGGGGGTTCTTAGTCCACTTTCTGCTGTGACCTCCTTTTACTTTCTTCATAAAAATTGTTCTAACTTCCTTAACTGAAAGAATTCTTCTGGTTGTACCTTTCCGTTTCCCCACTATTATTATTTATTATTATTATTACCATACACTAAGCTGTGGTCGTTATTGTTTTTTTCTTATACCTTCCTTTTCTCTTCCCATCCTCATTGTTTTGTGTGGCGCATATATATCTGGTGCCCCCTTGTGTTCAAATAAATAAACAAATCTTAGTCCCCTTGTTTCTAATATTCAAGGTCAAATTGATTTTTGGCAGTCAGTAAATGGGTGACTACCGAATAGAACGTAATATTTGATAACCATATAAATGTTACTATCATCTAACTATCTATTCTCAAGAAATGATCAATGCAATCATAAGTACTGATGTTTATTTTATTGTGACAGATTGGTTTTCATAAATGGGGCACTTATTTTGTTCATTAATATTGTCTCTTGAATTAGATAAATTTTGGAAAGGAAATTCTACAATGATAACCATTTTGCTGTTCAAAGCTAAAATATGAGTGTATGTATGATGGATAAATTCAAAACTACCATCAAATTGTCATTTATAGTACTCTAATGTTTCCTTTCTAGTCATCATTTGGTTAAAT